GTATATATTTTTTAGTTGTCCAGCTAATTTCTTCCTATTTTTTTAGTAGAGACGGGGGTCTCACGCTTGCTTAGGCTGGTTTTGAACTCCTGACCTTGAGCAATCCTCCTGCCTTGGCCTCCCAGAGTGCTAGGATTACAAGTGTGAGCCACTGCGCCCAGCCCACAAAAGTTTTTAATTTTGATGAAGTCCATTTATCTATTTTTTCTTTTATTGCTTGTACTTTCAATGTCATATTTTAGAATCCATTGCCAAATCCAAGATCATAAAGATTTATCCCTATGTTTTTTTCTAAGATTTTTGTAATCTTAGCTCTTTCATTTAGGTTTTTGATCCCTTTTTTATTGTGGTAAAATATACATAAAATGTTAGCATTTTAACCATCTTTAGGTGTACAGTTCAGTGGCATTAACTACACAGTTTTCAAGCATCGCCACTATCCATCTCTAGAACTTTTTTATTCTCCCAAACTAAAGCTCTGTAACCACTAAACACTAAATGTCCATTTCCCCTACCTCCAGCCTCTAACAACCATCATTCTATTTTCTGTGTCTATGAATTTGACTATTCTGGGTACCTTATATAAGAAGAGTCATATAATAATTGTCCTTTTGTGTCTGCTTTATTTCATTTAGCATAATGTCTTCAAGGTTCATGCATATCATAGCATGTTTCATGCTATGTTCCTCTTTAAGGCTGAATAATATTCCCTTGTACATATATCACATTTTGTTTATTCATTTATTCATCAATGGATACTTGGGTTGTTTCTACCTTTTGGCTATTGTGAATAATGCTGCTATGAACATACAAATATGTATTTGAGTCCCTGTTTTCCATTCTTTTGTGTATATGCCCAGAAGTGGAATTGCTGGAGCAGATGGTAATTCCATGTTTAATTTGTCGAGAAACCGTCATGTTTTCACAGCAGCTACACCAGTTGACATGCCCACCAGCAGAGCACAGAGACTCTGTTTCAGCTTCCGGGTAGCTGAGCACGTGGTGGTGGAGGTTCCCGGAGGCTGGTGCGCCCAGGGAGGGCAGGTCCACGTCCCTCCCCCTATGCCTCTCCCCATGCTCCTCTTCATCTGTACCCTTTGTAATATCCTTTAAAATAAACTGGTAAACAATTATTACTAGTTAATGGGCTTGTTGCAAGGCAACAGGACATCAAGGATAGACAGGACTATGTGAAGTTGATAGACATCCCAGACTCCTGCGATGGTCCTCAGCTGCAACGTCCTCTCGCTTTTTCTGATGTTGATTTACTTCCTGAGGCCTTCAAGCCACAACAGATACTTCATGCTGCTCATTATGTCTTTTTTTTTTTTTTTTTTTTTTGAGACAGATTCTCACTCTGTTGCCCGGGCTAAAGTGCCGTGGCATCAGCCTAGCTCACAGCAACCCCAAACTCCTGGGCTCAAGCAATTCTGCCTTAGCCTCCCGAGTAGCTGGGACTACCGGGATGTGCCACCATCCCCAGCTAATTAATTTCTTTCTATTTTTAGTAGAGATGGGGTCTTGCTCTTGCTCAAGCTGGTCTCAAACTCCTGACCTTAAGTGATCCTCCTGCCTCGGCCTCCTGGAGTGCTAGGATTACAGGCATGAGCCACTGCACCTGGCCTGCTCATTATGTCTTAAAGGTGTTTTCTTTTTTTGGAGCCAGGGTCTCACCCTGTCACCAGGCTGGAGTGCGATGTGTGATCATAGCTCCCTGCGTCCTCGATAGAGGTGCTATTTATTTGAAACCAAGAAAGTCCTGAAGCAGGTGCTGAATTTCACTCACATAAATACCTTTCCCTCCAGAGAGGTTAACAGCCTGCAGTGAGTTGTATGGGAAAATGGGTAACCTTTTTTTGATCTTCTATAAGAATCTTTTATTTTTTTGCTCTCCCTTCAGGGATCATCCTATATATTTTTAATGGTGAGTTTGTAGATCGAGGAAACAATTCTATAGAGATTCTAATGATCCATGTCAACAGAAACAAAATAAACTTTGTGTTGATGTCACCAATGGAAGGAAATAGAGACCATGCCCCTGAACTGAAGCAAAATAAAGTAGGTGTCACTGTTACTATGCCCAAGAGACTCAAAGCAAATGGATCCCTTTCTGAACATGTATGAAAGCATGAATGGGAACAGGCTATTGATATTCTACGGAGTTATCCAAAAAAGGCTGTTGTCTAAACACAAGTTGAGGAGGGGGCTGCAATTTTGGACCAGATATTACTTCCAAGATTCTCAGTAAATACCAGGGGAAGATGCTCATTAGGTCTTGTAAGCCCAGAGGGTGTGAAATCTGCCATGATGGGAAGGTTGTTACTGTATTTTCTGCTTCTAATTAATTATGAAGGAGGAAGCAATTGAGGAGCTTACATCAAACTGTGTTCTGGTACGACTCCTCGATTTTTCCAGTACCGAGTAACTAGGGGAATGTCCCTGGAGCCTCTTCACCAAAGGGTGAATATGGTGGAAATCAGTGCCATCAGGATATTAAAATAAAGAGAATTATTTCACCAAAAACTGACCTCATTCTCATGCTTTCCAACCACAGAAAATCAAGGAAAACTTTCTCTGGGCCAGTGGGCTTTTCTCAGGGCGAGCATTTTAGGGCTGAACTTACCATGGAGAGCCCTGAGTTCGCATCTGGTAAACAGAGACAAAGATGGAAATATTGACCACATGTCCAGCTTCTGGGATATGCACATTGAAAAACTCTGTGAAAGAGGTTCAGTCTAAAGCTCTGTACAGATACCGATCCGACCTGGACGTCATATTTCATATCATTGACTCCAAACACTCAGGCCTGACCTCCACGGAAGAATTTCATGCCATATGGAAACTTTTAAATTCTCATACAATGTTCTTTTTTTTTTTTTGGAGACAGAGTCTTGCTCTGTTACCAGGCTAGAGTGCCATGGCATTAGCCTAGCTCACAATAACCTCAAACTCCTGGGCTTTAGTGATCCTTCTGCCTCAGCCTCCCCAGTAGCTGGGACTACAGGCATTTGCCACCATGCCTGGCTAATTTTTTTCTATATATTTTTAGTTGTCCAGCTAATTTCTTTCTATTTTTAGTAAAGACCGGGTCTCACACTTACTCAGGCTGGTCTGAAGCTCTTGGCCTCGAGCAATCTTCCCTCCTCAGCCTCCCAGAGTGTTAGGATTACTGGCATGAGCCATGGCATGTAGCCTCTCTCTTTTCTTAAAATTGCATAACTCCTATCAATTTGTCTTCAAGTTTGCTAATTCTTTCTTTTGCCTTTTCAAATCTATTGAGACCGTCTGGTGAGTTTTTCATTTCAGCTGTTGTAGTTTTGAACTCTAGAATTTCCATTTGATTCTTTTTTTTATACTTTCATTCTCTTTAATGATAGCCATTTGATGTGATATTGTCATCATACCTTCTTTTATTTCTTTAATCATGGTTTCCTTAGTTCTTTGAACATATTTATAATGGTTACTTTGAAGTCTTGTCTGTTAAATGCACCTTCTGGTTGCTTGATTGCCTGCTTTTATTTCCCAGTGTATGGGTCATACTTAACCACTTCCTTGCAAGTCTTATAACTTGTTGATAAATTCTGGACATTTAAAATAACATATTGTATAATAGCAACTTTGAGTACTGCCTCCTTCCCCCAGTCCAATCTCAGGCTTGCTATTGTTAATTGGTTTACTTGTTCAGTGAATGGTTTAATTATTCCAGTGACTCTATCTACCCCCTACCCCCTACTCCCCAGACACAGTGTGAAGCCTCTTTCTTGGGAAGATGTTCTTCAGGGGAGGGCAGCCTTGAGTATACTCACAGTCATCCTAGGTGATAGGGGCTTCAGGGGCTCCCTTCAAGTCTCCTTCCTTGACTACCTCCAGCTGTTAAGCTCACTAATTGTTAGCTGATTTCTCCATGCTTTTTGATAATGCCCTAGGGCATAAATTGTCCCACAAACTGATCCAACCAAATTCAGGCTCCCTTGAAGGGATGTGTTAAGCATTTGAGCTTAGTTTTGACCCCAAGAGGGCTTCTCCCAGCTGTCTCTTTACCCTCTTCTCTCCAGCAAATTGGGAGGCCCAGTTTAACCTCTATCTCCAATGATCCTCTCATTCTCCTCCCAATTTCCTCTCACACAACCTCCACTGTTTTTGTACGCACTCTTAAGCTTGAACTCCTCTTTCAAATAAAGTCAGTTCCTTTCAAGAAAGATTGGGAGCTCTCTGTTCTGCAGCCTGGGCCCCTGTGTTCTCTCTCCTGTCTGCCTTCCAGCCTCATCACCTACCAGAGCCCTTATCAAAGCGTGGTCCCTGGACTAGCATCACCTGGGAACTTGTTAGACATGCACATTCCTGGGCTCTGCCCCAGACCCGCTGACTCAGGAACTCTGGGGTGGGGCCCAGTAACTTGCAGTTTGACAAGGAAATTCTACTGGGAGGTTCTGACGCACACTGATGTTTGAGAACCACAAAGCACTCCAGCCACATCATACTACCCTCTGTCTCTAGGCCTTGGCTGTCTAGCCCTCTAGCTGAACGACCTTTCTTAGCGCCCATTTGTTCTTTAAGAATCAGCTGGAGCAGTCTGTGTTCTTCCTCTATGTTCTTTTGCATCATGACCTAGGAGGTCTTCCTTGTAGCGTGAGCCAGTTTCCTATAGTAATTGGTTGTGCCAGCTGCCTTTGTCCAGCTGGGACCTTCTTAAAGGCAGGAACCATTTCTCATCCCGCACACAATGCCTGGTTCAGGGATATATTCTACATGTGCTAAATTTTAAGGATGAGCTTTCAGAGGTCAGGAGGCTCGAAGATGAAGACTATCATTCTAACATTCAAAACATGACCTGAGCGGGAAAGCAAGAAATGCCCCCATCTGACATCAAAGCTAATGACACAGCCAACTTCCAACTAGTTCCCTTTTTCAGGGTCACACTGATGACTGGAAACTCTCCCCTCTCGAAGCCACCCTCCCTCAGCACGTGATGAAAAAAGAAAGAAACAGACTCAACATTGTCCCTTCAGAGGAAGCCTTTATTGTAACATAAAATACACAATTTTGTGACTGCCCCAAATTGTACATAATACTTTTTGGGTGGCTATATAACTAATCTGCCTCGACACTAAAATATGTATCTGAAATAATTTCACAAAGTTTTAAAAAGAAAAATTATAAAAAGTATACTTTCATTTTAAGTTATATTTGCTTTTAGTCTCCCCCCACCCCCTACAAAACCCTGCGCATACCACACACGGAGCTGAAACGTCTGAGGGCGCGCGTGTGTGTCTGGGAGCAGGTGAGAGGCTGAGCGGGTCTAGACTCGCCATGGCCCCTTCTTGTGGTTTTCGGGAACAGGGAGAAGAGAGAAAACAGAACGCAGACAGCGAGCGCACCTTTCAGTCGCCAATCTCCCCCATCTCTTGGCGCAGTCTCAGTAGCGCCGAGGGCAGCTTAGCCACTGAACCAGCAGGGGGAGCCCACGCTCAGGGAGGCCACACTTCAGCCCTCTTCCTTCCCAACCCGGTGCCAACTGTGATGCGAGCTCTGGGCGGCCAGGGACGGCCAGACTGCTCTGCCCTTAGCAGGCCCCGGGCTGGGTCCATCCCAACACGAAATTGTGCCAACCTCCTCTCCTCTCCGCCCCAGGGTTGCTGGAACAAAGGGGGTGACCTCAGAGGCGGGTGCTGGTGAAGCATCTCTGAACGACCAGCAGGGAGCGCTCTTTGAGCCTGGGTCCCCAAGTAGCCAGGCTTCCCTTAGTGCCCTTCCCTAAAGTGCCTGTCCCTTGGGAGGAATTTTCATCAAATCTGGGGGCGGGGGGCTTAGCAGCCTCCTTCATCAGTGCTGGTATCCATGGAAGGCTCAGCCTGCTCCTCAGAGGCAGAGAGGTTCTACTGCCTGGCATAGAAAAATAAATCAGTGTATGAAACCAAGCCAAGGCAAACAGCAGCTTTTAAAAAGTCATCTTCCAATAAATAATTTACTACAGAGGAATATTTTCATTTAACAGCAAAACACTGATAGATTCAGAAGTTATTTTTGTAAAAAAAATATCTATTTACTCACATGTATAAAAATAAGGTTTTTTGGGCCATCCTCTCCTGGGTGTGGTCATGCCCTTCTTTTGGAGAGGGGGACCAGAGGTGGCCTTATAGGCCTTGTCTGTAAGCTACACCTGCTCACCCCTACCCCCACCCACCGGAGAAAGCCCATTCCTTCCTTCTGGTGTAAAGCTACAGAAGAAATTGTGGAACAAAATGACACTTAGGCTTGTTGTTTTGTCTTTATAGTTCGTCAGCTCCCCGCCAAACCCGCTGACTGCTTCCCCGTGTTCCCGAGGCCTGACACCCAGCACCCGCCAGGAGGGCGAGCTCCTGCGGGACCAGCCGGGCCCCTGTTCAGACCACAGGCCCCTGTTCCTGCCACCTGCTCCTCGAGACGCCCGTGGACAGTAAAGGGAAATGAGGGGACCTGGGTATGAACGACCCTGCATGGATGCAGGAAGAGAGAATTTTGATGCCAAATTGGTGTGGGAATGGGAAAACAAAAAAGATCCAATTTTGAAACAAAAACATCATTTAACATTTGCAAAAAGCCATTATCAATAAGCCTGGAGAAAGCCCCGGGTTGTGCTGGCTCAGAGGGCGCCCAGCTCTCCAGGGCAACGAGGCGACAAGCTTGGTGCCGGCAAGTCAGGGCTGGGCACTCCACTCTGGCCAAACACAAAGCACATCAACACTGTAAGCTCTCAGGTATGTGACCCTCTTTTCCTTCCTTTATTTTGCCAAACGTGTCTGTATAGGAGCAAAGTGGCAATTCCAGGGGCAGGGGGAGGAGGGGAAGGGAGGACCAAGAGAGAATGTTAAGATGGGTTGAATGATAACATAAAAAGCCATCACCCATCTGGAAACTTGTGACTTCCCTTGCCCCAGCAACCTTTGTAAGCTGCCCCTCTTCCCCTCCCTGTCCAAGAGCAGAGGGGCAGCAGGGAGGGATGGAAGGAGGACCGGCTTTCTTGGTCAAAAGGCAGTTAGCTACATTTCAGAAGAAAAGCAGAGACGATCACGGTTATGTATCACATGCTTGGCAGACAGGGTGACAAAGACTCACTAGGGAGGGGGGCTCTCTCCTCCCTTTGTCCTTCTTTTACTTGAACAGTCACATATCAAAGTTCAGCCACCCCTAAGACACCTGGCCAAGTTCCAGGGTTCACGGAACTAACTGCCTTTATGCACAAGGTAAAAATCAGCACAGCCTCGGTTCGTGGCCCCTGCTAAACTTAGGACAGCAAGAGAGAGGAACACGACGTGCAAACACACACACATGCACACACGCACACACTCACGCTCCCTTCACTGGTGCCACCATGCACAGAAACACTAAAGTCACAACTAGTAATAACACTTCACATTATGAGTATTGTTTCCAAAGAGAAGCGATTCATGGAATTAGAACATCCACAAGAGTGACTCCTCTGGCGAGGACAAGAACTGAAGACGGCGAGGCCGAGGGGTCAGGACTGCGCGTGGGGGATCCACTGACTGTCCATCGGGCGGCCGAGCAGCTCCTCTACGCGCCGCGCCACGTCCATCGTGTCTTCCAGATCGAAGTCCCCATCGGTCTCCAGGACTGAGTCAGGGCTTGGAGGGGAAAGAACGCGGAGATCAGGGAAAGGGGAAAGGTTCTCGGAGACCACCCGGATCCCACAGCCCACCAGGGGGGCGGCCCACGACAGCCTGTCGTGCCGGTGTAGGGCCTGGTGGGAAGAGAACCTCTGATCAGAACGCTTCGCTCGCCGGCGCTACAGAGACTCTGCCTGGAACACTCACACGGCGGCCTCTGACACTGCCCGTCCAGACACATCGAAACCCCATTCAGTCCTTACACGGAGCAAGAAAAATCTCCATTCTGAGAGGCAGCATTTGCCCAACCCCACTCTAAACGACCAAAATCTTCTGGTAGAATGTCTCCCTCCCACGGCTAGAGCCTGGGCCTGGGCTGGGCGGCCTTGGACCTAGAGGAGCTCTGGATTCCTTTGCTGCCCAGCCCTGCAGGGGGCCAGACTGGGGTGAGGTCCCCAGCTCCTCCCCTGCAGACCCCGATGAGATCACCACTTACTTCGGTGGGTACATGTTATAGTGAGGCTGGGGGCACACAGACGGGGAGGGTGCCTGGTCCATGTAGGTGGTGCTGGCCCCGGCGTCCGCAGACACGTTCACAAACCTGCAGGAGGAAGCAGGACGGAGCCTCAGCCGCCAGGGAAGCCAGGTGGGCGGCTGACCTGTGGAGGGGGTTGGGGGGCATCTTTATGTCTTTCTCGGGATATAGAAGGATGAAATTCTCCACTTGGCCCTGGGGCTCTGGCTGCAGGACTGGGCCCTGGGTACTGGCCACAGCACGACCAAGCCCAGGTCCCTCCCTGGGGCTGAGTCAGCTTTCCCAGGGGTGAGGGGTCAGAATGTGGGGGCCCAAGAACAGGAGGGACGGCAGTGTCTGGGGAGGAGAAGACAGGCGGAAGGAAAGCCAGTGCCGGGCCCTGGACACTTACTCAGGGACCACTTGCTTGATCTGTGGCTTCACGTATCCGTCAACTGCTTTAGCTGCCAAGGGGAGAACAGCAGTGAGAACCAAAGTTCTCAAATGAAATAAAAATGCAATCTCTCTTAAGAATCATACCTTTTCTTAGGACAGGACACAACTACATAATTTTTTTTTTTTTTACTTTTTTTTTGAGACAGAGTCTCACTGTTGCTTGGGCTAGAGTGCCTAGCTCACAACAACCTCAAACTCCTGGGCTCAATTGATCCTCTTGCCTCAGCCTACCAAGTAGCTGAAATTACAGGTATGCACCACCATGCCTGGCTAATATTTTTATTTTTAGTAGAAACGGGGTCTTGCTCTTACTCAGGCTGGTCTTGAACTCCTGATCTCAAGTGATCCTCCCACCTTGGCCTCCCAGAGTGCTAGGATTACAGGCGTGAGCCACCGTGCTCGGCCACAACCACACAATCTTATCTTAGGATAGGATATAAACACTTAATATTTCAATCTGTTAGGAAGACCTGGTAGAGGAGAAGCTCAACACTAAAACTGAAAATTAAGATATCTTCCAAGTTGGCTTGTGTGTTTTAATAAGTTCTTCAAACCATAGAAGGTACGTACTTCAGTACAAATCTAAGTCAAGCATTCACTGCGTAGTAATTCTAAAAAGAAAAAATACATTTGAAACCTTAAAGTGGAAGAGGCAGCAAAGGGAGAGGATTTGCTCCATCTGACTCCAGGGACAAAATTAGGACCTGCACCGGGAGGGCACGAGAGGACACAAGATTGTTATCACAAGTGGAAGTGCCCAAAAAAGAAATGGGTTGTCTTGGGATGAAATTATTTTCTTATCATCATAGGTTTTCAAGCGGAGAGTGTACAAACACTTGCCAGGGGTCGCACAGAAAAATCCGAGCCTCAGAGAGGAGTTGATGTGACATGATGATGCTGGCAGGGTCACTGTCACTCTGAGTGCCTGCTCTTTTGGGAAAGGGAATGCCACTTTTTCCAGCACCTGCATGTTCCCTCGTGCCCTGGGGTTTCTGCATTTGGGGGTGATCTGGTGGCCACTTGTCCTAGTGAGCGCTGTCTGTGCCTGGTTGCTGAGGTTGTGTCCCTCACGCTCCACACAATCTACTCTGGAAAGATGTGTCAAAAAGCTTAAATAGTACATACCCTTTGACACAAATTCTACTTTAGGAATTTATCTCAAGGAAACAGTTGAACAAGATGCTGGTTACCAGGTTATCTCAACATTAATCCTAACAAAACAGGTGAACGGTTTAAATTATATTAAATCACCAACATGGAACACATCATGGAATGCCCATACCATGGGATTCTATGCAACTGTCAAATATGATGTTGGAAGACTGCATTTACTGAGCCATAACTCTGCCTCGGATATATTTTTTCTTTTCTTTTTTTTTTTTATATATTTTTAAATACTGGCTAATTTTTTCTATTTTTAGTAGAGACAGGGTCTCGCTTTTGCTCAGGCTGGTCCCACCTCAGCCTCCCAGAATGCTAGGATTACAGGTGTGAGCCACTGCACCCGGCCTAGGATATATGTTTAAGTGGAAAAAAGAATCAGGTCACAAAAGACTACGCATGGTATGATGCAAAGCCCAACCTGTCACTGTGGACTCTGAGGCGTGCCATGCTCCAACCTCGGCTCCTGCGACTTACTTCTCTGCTCAACAGCTCGAGCTTGTCGGGCCCTCCAGAGGTTTTCAGACTCTCAAAGCTCACTCCCACCCCAGACTCCTTGGCCTAGAATGGTTTTCCTCTAGATCATAGTATGACCAACTTCATCACTTCCTTCGGGTCTATTCAAACATCACTTCCTCATGAGATGCTATCTCTGTCCTCCTCCCTGACACTTCTCTATCTCTCTACCTTGCTTTTCCTTCAGAGCATCCATCACTAAATAGATATATCTGTTTACATGTTTATGGTCTTCTTTCTGCTACTAGATTGTAACCTCCACACAGGAAGCACTCTATAGCACTGGGTGATGGGGTGAAGGAAGGATCTGTATCTACAGGGAGTGGAAGAGTAATTGTTTACAAAGGTTCATCTTTACATGGCAGATGTGGGATGTGATGTCTGCTTTCTTTTTCATGCTGTTATGTGTTTTCTGAAATTTTGCAATAAATATGTAATACTTCTAGGCTGGGAAAGCCATAAAACTATCTGTGTTTTGAAAAACAAAATTTTGCCTCCCTAATTTTGTTTGATCTAACCTTGTATTAAAAGCAATTTGTTTCCTTTGATTTGATATTTAGGATTAGTGGCAGATGTATTTTGGTATGACTAAGGAATACAGCCCAAGGTTTATGTCTGCCCTGGATGAAAGCTCAGGCAGCAGGAACTGGATGCTCATTATGTAGGTTTTCATGCAAGAGAGAGTACACACACACACACACACACACACACAAATAAACCCCAGGTCACAACAAAATCAAATCAGAATGCGAACATTGTTACCAGTGGCAGGCTCGCAGGACACAGGCGTGTAGTATTTGGAGTACACTTCATCTTTGGGCCGATCAGGAAACACGTAGATAAGGTAATTCAAGTCCCCCAAGCGGTCGGCCAGGGACCGGATCGAGAAGTCTCTGGTGGTGAAAGGCATCAGATTCCAAAACATCCTCTCCTCTGGATCAACAAACAGAACAATCCCATTCTAAACATGATTTCCAAATGAGAAATTTTAAAACCCAAATATACTACAAATTTAAGCTCACCATTAAAATTGCCCTAATAGGAATCTCCATTTTAAAATTAGCATGGGTTGTAGATAAAGTAGTTTTTAAAAGTCCTGGGTGGATAAGCAGGTATCGTGTGCCTCCCTTCCCTAGAGATCCAGTGACCTCAGGGAATTTCAAGTTCAAGCAGTAGTCTGTACCCCACTAGAAGAAACAGTTCTTATAGACTCCAACCCCTGGTTTCCCACACAAAGGTATGTGAGAGAGCTGGGAAGCAGGCCCATAGCCAGAGAAGGCCTAGGGAAATCTTTATATCACAAAAAAACTAGCAAAGCTACTTTTACTGTCAGAGGAAAGAACTCACATTCTTGAATGGAAATGGTTAATGGAGACACCCTTATGTTAATTAGGATAAAATAACTGAAATAGCATATTATTACTACTCGAAGGACTTAAAATCATCAACGTAGTTCTTCACTGAAATAAACTCCAGGTTGAGTGGTAATAAGGCCAACATTTCAAGAGGGAAGCGACTGAGTTCTGCACTGACTGCTGTATTACGGGTACCTATGTCATGGTTATACTTTCACGTTTCCCAAAATTAGTAACTGTGCTTCCCATCAGAGTATTTTTCATAGGCTGCTGTATTATGAGCAGCTATGTCATGGTTACACATTTGTGTCTCCCATAATTAGTACTGTCCCCAACAAACAAGTATTCAATAAATTGTCTGCTAAAGTGATTTTGCAACAAAAGTGGCTAACTTTGGACACAAAGCCAAGATATGTCTAAAAAAAAAAGGGATGGGCACCTACGAGAATCAAACTTCCACGCGATGGTGATGCCACCAATTTCTGAATCACTGAATCTCAGCAGGAAGGTCCCATCTGGCTTGTTAATGAGCAGGTCGTGGGCCTGTTGCTTGTTCACGAACCCTAGAATGGCCCTGGATCACAAAGGACGGAAGCAGAGCGTGACGACGTATCAATGCCAGGAAGAAGACTTTCATCCTCTATTGGGAAATGACAATTCTCACCCATCGTTCCAATGAGGCTTGAGATGTTTTTTTAACACTTCCATCACACCGTCAAACCACTGCCAGAAAGTGTAATTCCGTCCTGGTAAATTCTCCTGGTTGGAGATACAACAATGAACACAAGAACGTAAGAGTAACACTTGGAATATTATCTGCACATATTTTAACTGGAAAAATTGAATGGAAAACAAACATTGCACTGTCAGAAGCAGACAAATATAAATGCCTGCCAGAGTTTAACCTAATGGCTCTATAACCAAACACAGAAATGGAGAGGAAAAGAGGGAAGGAGGGGAGGATACCAAAGTGTCATTGCCAATAGCCTGCTATTAACACAAACTCCTGCTATTAATACACTTTCACCTGGATCTGGGCTGACTGGTCCCTGGCTATTTTTGATGTCAGGTCTATGACCAGTAGCTTTAGCATCGCCCGGGAGCTTTTGAGCAATGCAAATTGTACAGGCTCCATCTCAGACCTGATGAATCACAGCCTGCCTTTCAACAAGATGCCCAGTTGATTTGTAAGTATGAACTGGATTAGATCACATTGTAAGGCCATAGATGTAGCTTCATCACACAGATGTTCCCAACGGTCATGAGCAAGATGCAGTTAGTAACTTGATTCTATCGGGAGAAAGGGGCCTTACTGTAAAGGCAAAGACAGATGATTGAGACCTCTTGCTTCTCTTATCAAACCTATCAGCAAAACCTTTAGCCAACTTGTTAACACACAACCTTTAAAAGACTCAGACCATGAGCTCTCTGACCTAAGGACATTTAAAACACTTGGCTATCTGACCTGACCTTAGAGAAAAGATTTGACTTGTGACATCTGAATTACCAGATGCTAGAGGAGAAGTCTCTTTCATGAGCATCCTGTTTTGCGGGCTGAGGGTCTTATGGGAGCCTGCCTTGGCATTAAACACCAGGAAACACCAGAAAGAGAATGGGACAGAGCCCTGGGATTCGGATCATCTCAAAAGCCTCGCTTCTGAGTAACACCACATCTGCTTTGCCCTGTTTCCTTTATAAAGTGAGAAAATGCACTGATGGCACATAGAGCCCAACTTACTCAAAATATGCAAAGATGTAATTTTATACATGAGACCTGAATATCTACCAAGTCGTCCATCTATTCAGAAGCTTCTATCACTTTTGGTACATTTTTTCAGAGACAGGAAGAACAAAGACCAGTTGCAGGGAGACTCCTGGAAGGAGCCGAAGCACTGATCTAACAGCAGCCGAGGCCCGGGCTCCTCACCCTGTTGAACTGGGACCAGGACACGGACATGTTGCTGTAGTCCTCGAGGTGGCTGCTGCTGTTGTTGAACAGTTTCTGCGCCAGGAACACGAGGTTCTCCTTGGTCAGGCCCCGGTTGCTCTGCACTTCCGCCTTGAATTTCATGTTGAGTGCCTCGCACAGCTGCGGCCACAGCACTTTGTCGGGCACGGCAAATGGCACCCTGCCCTGAGAGGGAGGGAAGCCAGCATCTCATGAGAACACAGTTGCACGATTTATTCCCCCAAGCCACAAAAGAAAAACATCGATGGCTGGAAGTAGTTATAAACTTTTGTCTTGCAGAGCCTGGGAATAAATTTGAACTTTCTTGGGGTGTGCAGTTCTGCAAGAAGGTTCCGTCTTACCTGCTTTACACACAACTAGAAGGTAAGCTCGTGCTGTCTGTGCTGCTTTGGAAACCAGCTGCTGAACCCACAGTCTAATCCTATGTTCTCATAGCCACAAAAACAAACGTAATCAAGGTCTGGCCCTTCTGTGGTAAAGCCCTTGGGAATGTAGAAATCTAACACTGGTTCTTTAGGTACAAAGAGCGAGGATGTGTGTATGTGTGTGCACAGTGTAACGCTTGCCCTCGACTCCTGCCAAGAACTCTAGCTCAAAGTGAAATAGCTTTCCAGGTATGCAACACTGGAAATTTCAAGTTGGACAACTTTATTGAGAAAGAGGTCAGAATGTGAATTTTTAATAAACTGCCCATTCAGCCATAGTACTTTTTAAATTTTATTATAACATTTTTATTTTTTATTTTATTTATTTAACTTTGATTTGTTTTTTGAGACATGGTCGTGCTCTGTTGCTCAGGCTGGATTGAGTGCAGTGGCATACTCATAGCTCACTGCAGCCTCAAACTCCTGGGCTCAAATGATCCTCCCACCTCAGCCTCCAGAATAGCTAGGACTACAAGTGCATGGTTCTAAAATTTTTTTTTTTTTTTTTTAAGCCAGTCAAATTTAGCAGTGGGGGGTAAAATTTTTTTTTAAATAGGAGATTCCTTCTCATGATATAAAATCCAAAAAGCATATATGGGTATACGAAGAAGTCACTTCCCTATCCCTGTCTCCCAGAGACCCAGTTATTTTTCTCAAAGGCATCTAATTTAGTTTCTTGTACATACTGCCAAAGATGTTCCATGCATGTCAGCAATTATATATAATTTTTCCTTTCCTTTTTTTTACATAAATGGTAGCATAAAATCCACATGTTCTGCATCTCTCTCTTTTCACTTAATACTATATCTGGGAGATCTCATATCAGCACATAAAGAAATTTCAACAGACCCCCACAGACAGGCATCTATTAATATATAAAAGCCTCTGATCTATAGCTATCATAAATGATACTGCAACATACTTATGTTATTGACACATATGCAAATTTACCTGTAGAATAAATTTCCACAAGTAGCTGTTTTAAAATAGCACAAGATATACACTAGTCATTAACATAACTGAAAATGTTGAAAATGCTTATTTAGACAAGATACTTGGGTAATTTCATGTTGCAGAAGATGCCAAAGTTACGCAGAGAGTTAGAGCTGTGGACGAGCAGGGCAGGAGGCTTATCAGGACAAGCTGTAGGCAGATATGTTCAAAAAGGAGCCTCCAACTGGGATTTTGAAGTATGGTAGAATCTCTGATAAAAATCTCTCCTATGTACTAAAATATTGTTCTCCAAAAGAGGACTGCTGGGAATAAGACTTTTTTTTTTTTTTTTTGAGACAGAGTCTCGCTTTGTTGCCTAGGCTAGAATGAGTGCCGTGGCGTCAGCCTAGCTCACAGCAACCTCAAACTCCTGGGCTCAAGCAATCCTTCTGCCTCAGCCTCCCGAGTAGCCGGGACTACAGGCATGCGCCACCATGCCCGGCTAATTTTCTATATATATTAGTTGGCCAATTAATTTCTTTCTATTTATAGTAGAGACGGGGTCTCACTCTTGCTCAGGCTGGTTTCGAACTCCTGACCTCGAGCAATCCGCCCGCCTCAGCCTCCCAGAGTGCTAGGATTACAGGCGTGAGCCACCTCGCCCGGCTGGGAATAAGACTTTTCATGTAGCCATTACAGAAAGACATACTTTTATGTGCCAAATAATAACCCTTTTATCATGCTTTTAGGGAACAACACATAAATCTTTTGTCTACTGAGACATTTTGCAAGTGCTCATCCTGCAGCATGCTAGTGGTATCTGTGCACAAATCCACAAATTTTTATCTCTTCCTTGAGACAAAGCATCTTACTCGTCATGAAAGACTTGGAATGAATCACAGAATCTAAAATTTGGAAAGGACATTTAATGGCATCTCATTTATTAGCAGGAAGATGACATGAAGCAACTTCTGAGTTAAAGTAACCTCTTGAGAGATCTGAAGTCCAGAAGGAACCTGAGGTCCCAAATCCCATTCCTGGTTTCAACCACGGGCTGTATGACAAGAATTTTCTATGTTATCTCATTTAATCTTCCTAACAATGCCATGAAACATCACTGTCCCCGTGTCACAGACCCTTACTGGAAACTCAAGCTCAGAGAGGCAAAGGGAACGCCTGTGGTCACAGAGTGAGGAACGCCTGAATTCAAACCCTGGCCTGACGCCAAGCCCACGTTCCTCCTACTTTCCACATTCCTTCTGTTCCGCCTCCCACTAAGGAAAGCAGAATTTTCTTTCTGTAGTTTTTCTGGTGGGGGGTGGGAGGATAATACATGAAAGAGATTCATGATACTAGCACTGAGATCCTGAGACCCACAAACCCAAGAAACCCACTCACAGGCTCTGCGAAAGCATTGTCCCAGAGAACGGTGGCTGTCGCGTTGTTGTCCTGGCTGCCGTGCACGATCACCACCACTGGCAGGGACAGGGTCTAAAAAGACACAGCGGAGGAGTTGAGTGCCCACGAGCCTCAAGTTCTTTGCCTTCTCTTCTTTTTATTTTGAGTCAGAGTCTCACTTTGTTGTCCAGGCTAGAGTGAGTGCCATGGTGTCAGCCTAGCTCACAGCAACCTCAAACTCCTGGGCTCAAGTGATCCTTCTGCCTCAGCCTCCCGAGTAGCTGGGACTACAGGCATGCGCCACCATGCCCGGCTAATTTTTTGTATATATATTAGTTGGCCAGTTAATTTCTTTCTGTTTATGGTAGAGACGGGGTCTCGCTCTTGCTCAGGTTGGTTTCAAACTCCTGAACTCAAACAATCCGCGCCTCGACCTCCCTTACAGATGTAAGCCACCTAGCCGGGCCGCCTTCTCTTCTTTTGTTCTTATAATCACAACACTCTTTTTTTTAACCTTTTGCACTTGGATGTCAAGTGTTACTCGACATGGTTAGCAAAAATTATAGAGATTAAAATCACTCTTTGAATGTATCAATAATTTGAAATATAAAAAAATCCAAATAAATAAGTTTGTATGAAAAGAAACTCCAGTTTTTTATTCTACTGCCACGCTTTGTAAAATCTGGGGTATTTAAAAAATTAAATCCCTAGTAGAATAAAGGAATAGAGAAAAAAGCAAGCAAGTGCAAAAGGTTAAGTTTTAGATAATGTCACTCTCAGACACAGTGTCTGAATGATTTCATGAATAGCACTTTTCACACTGGTACAATCTAGAAATTTTAGGTATTTAATGAGCTGTGCTGCTCAAGGATGGAGTGAGGTTCTCAAAGTTACATGGAGAACAAGAGAGAGAAAAGAGAAAGGGTATGGAGACATTTCTTGGGGAAAAATATAAGTCACCAATGTGTAAAACGTACAACAACGTTGACTCAGATTCATACTGAGCCATGTTTTTCATGATCCCTTGTGTCCCTATCACGTGGCTATTTCAGTTCATTATTGTCCACATCTTAAAAGAATCTAAGAGCTACAGTTCTGAGAATGAGGTCATCCCATCTTCTGTTTGTTGGTCAAAAAGAAGACGCTACGTAATAAAAACAGTGCTTTTGTGACATGAGGTCCACGCATATCACATGCGCACACACAACACACACACAGCGCAGGGAGGGCTTTACCTTGACTTGAAAAACAAGTTCATTTCCACCAACACTGAACTGTGATTCGAACAGGATTGTAAATTTTTCTTCTGTCACCGACTCTGCCCCACGACGGTCAGACCTCTTAATTCGTTTCAGGGACTGCAAAGGAGAGACGTGAGATGAAACGTACAGTGAGAGTCGTTCCCCTCAAACAATCGGGGAAACGACATTCCTCCTCATCTCCCAGCCTCACCATGTTCCTGAAGTGGGCGCTGAGGGTGCCCATGGCTTGGTGATACTCCATGACACAGCAGTTGTTCAGTATCTCCCCGCTGTAATCGCTGTAAATCAGAGAGACAGTATCTCTAAACCCACGCCAGGGGCTCTTCATACGCCAGGGAAAAAAATATATTTGGGGTAGGAGGAAATGAAGTTTGCCAACAGTACAGGTCATTTAGAGGAAGTGTTAGCTATGTATAAAATATGCAAGTGATTTTCTTGGATTTATCCCTAATAAATGAAACAAAATCATATGATCTTCACAGAATACAGTTCATAGGAGAAGCTCCTTAAATCCTTTCTCTGAGATTCAGAGAGGCTGGAAGGGCAAACAGAGGAGGCAGAAGGACTTTCTTCCTACCGCAAGGACACAAGGAAAGTACAGGGAGGGAGAAGCGGCACAATTACTTGCGGGTGTTCTCGTTCTTGAGCAGGGACTTGGCCTGCTGCTCGCTGATGATGGTGGCCTTCACCTGGGGGGGGTTCATGTGCACATTCAGCTTCCCGCCCACCAGCAGGCGCACGGTGGCTGCGAACTTGGTCTGGGTCTTCAGGACCTGAGGCGGCTGCTTCTCGATGATGAACGTGCTGCGGGGACAGTGACCACACGGAGCCTGAGATGCTGGCTCAGGGAAAGGGCTCCAGGCCCTCTGTGTGTTGCCGGGTGGGTGTGGCTGCCTCCCAGGGGCTGAGCAGATGAAGGAACAGCACGTGGCTCAGCGCTGCTCCCCAGGAGGCAGGAGATGGTGGGGAGGAGGAGGGACAGGAACTCAGCAGCTGGCAGGGGCTGCAGGGCCTGAGGGCACCTCTTGTAGTGTCCACAATAAAACTGGGCAAGGGTGATGCCAGGAGCAGCCCCAGCATCTGAAGAAGGAGCGGGAGGGGCGCCAGGCAGAGAGAGACAGGGGGAAGCAGAGCTCCTGGTCTGGAAAGCCCTGCTGCCCCCACACCCCAACCCCCGCAATGGGAGCTGGCCCTGCCCTGCTGGGTGTGGCTGAGAGGCAGCAGTCACCTGGTCACCAGGGCTGAGATGATGTCTGTGATGGTGGCATTGACCTCGGCCAACATCTCCTCCACTGGCCCGGGGATGGGCAGCTGCTGGCAGAGGTGCTCGGCCCTGCGGATCTGCTGCCGGTTCTGCCAGATGATCTCGGCCAGCTTCTCACACCTGCACGGGAGCCCCAAGGCCAAAAGGAAGACAATGGCTTCTCCCCCAGACCTCAGGCCAGAGCCTGGGAGGCTTCCAGTCTGGGGAGAACCCCAGTACACAGCTCCACCCTCACCCAGCACTAGGCGTTGGGCTTTCCCCGCATTCCTACCCACTGGCGCAGAGCAGAGCTCCTGCCTTCCAGAAGTGCAGAGAAATACACAGCAGGTGACCCTGACTTAGGCCCAACAAGCCCGAGGGACACTCTGCACACGCCACCCCTGCCCCGTTCCCCAGGACGGTGACTCCCTCTCCGGGGGAGGTGGCACTGCTGGGGCCAAGGTCTGTATCAGGACCCAGACTCACTGAAATAGGAGCTGTCAGAAGGCAGAGGGGGCCTGCTGCACGTGCCACTGCAGGAGGCAGAAGCAGCTGGTGCCACCACCACCTCCCTGCCTGCCCCAGAAACCCCCACGCCCCTTACCAGGACTGCAGCACGTCCAGGCTGCCCTCGGGGGGCCCGCCGTTGCCGGCCAGCTGCTGCCGCCGCTTCCACTGGATCAGCTCGTCGTCCAGAATGATGGTCTGCTGCTTCCGCAGCAGCTGCAGGGTCTTCTGGTGCTTCTCGGCCAGCTCCTGCAGGAAGGTGGGACAGCAGGCCCTGCTGGGCTCCCACAGACAACTCCGCAGGGCCAGCTCAGAAATGGCCCCGGACCTGCTCCCCCTCGCACGACCCCCAGGAAAGGCGGATCTGGACCCCTGCTCCTCGGGGTCCCACTCTTGCCCTGGCTCTATCCCCCAGTCGGGTCCCCAGAGACTCAGGACAGGCACTCCACGCCTGGGAGGAGGGACCAGCGCCCACTTACCACGCGGTACTGCTGCAGCGTCTGCGCCTCGCGCTGCAGCCAGGCCTCCAGGGACACCTGCTTCTGCTGCAGGGCCGTCTCCCGGCTCAGCCGCTCCTGGGGGCTCAGCTGGGCCAGCTGGGCAAACTGAGCTAGAGGAGAGGACAGGACACCATGGCTGTCATCTCCCAGCGTCCGGCAAGAGCCCAGAGGAGCCCGCTCACCTGTGCAGGCACAGGACCCTTGGGGGTCAAATATCCCGCCAAGGGCGAGTCGGGTTCCCGACAGCCGGACTGCCAAGGTGAATGGGTCAGAAGGCGGCCCTGGGCCCTGCTCACCCGCCCCTATCTGAGCTGCCCCCGGGGCACTGGGAGTGCAGCTGAGGCCGAGTCCTGCCTGTCTCCCGCCACTGCCCCACACAGGGGCTGCCACCCTGCTCACAGGCCCAGCCTGGAGCCAGGCTGCCCCGGTGGGAAGTGCGCCCACGACCTTCACTAGCCAGGTGAACTTGGGCAAATCACTCTACTCTCCCGAGCCTCGGTCTCTCCCGTGTAAATTGGGAGAAATGCAGCATCTGCCTCAGAGGCAGCTTGGAGGTGAAATAAGCGATGAAACGGAAGAGGCTTGAGAAACAGCCCGGCAGGCGCCAGTCTGTGTGAGACTGTCCTTCTCGGTTATGGGCGACAGGACGGGAATGAAAGGGTGACAGCGACCAGCGGCTGCTCAGCCCCCTCCTGCCCACAGCAAAGCCCCCCAGGGAGGCCTCTGCCCCGGCAGCTCCGCCCCGTCCCCCAGCACAGTGCCCTCCTCAGGGAAGGAGTTTCTCCGGGTGCCAGAAGGCGCCTGACACGTCTGTCCAGGCTGGTCGCTGTGAGCTCAGAGACAGACGGACAGAGAAGGGAGAGTGTCCAGGGCCCTTCGGGGACACAGAAGCAGCAGGACCCCTGAGGGGGGGGGTGGCAGCTTCTCCCCACACTGGTGTGAGGAGTCCCATGCGTGGCAGGAACAGGGAGTGGGGCCGGCCTTGTTACTTCTTTCAAAGTATCATGAAATACTTTCATGAAATACTATCATGAAATACTCAAGACACATGGAAGGTGCGAAGAGTAATACAAGGAACACCTGCATGTTCAGAACCCAGCCTAAGAAATCAGACATTCCCACAGTTACTGCTGCCTGTATACCTCCCTAGCTTGCAGCCCACCCCTCCCTCACAAAGACAAGCTCTATCCCAGGTGCTAGGACTGCTGCTCCCATCGACAACCTTCCTGAGCAGCCCAGGTGAGTGGAGAAATTGTGCACATTGGCACGCCCTGGCTGGCCTCTTAGGGCCATGTCACACTGACTTCGTCCCTGCCCCATGGGATGCACCACCTGGGACAGACAAAAGCAACTCGAGATAGCCAGAAAAAGCCCAGCACTGGGACTTAGAAAGATGGTTCCCATCTCACTGCAGGCTGCTGAGCAGAAGAGCGTCAGGCACAGAGGGTATCCGAGTAGGCTGGACGGCCACCTCGGGAACCTGCAAGGACCCTCCTAGTCCCTCCTGGAAATCTGCAGCAGCTTCTGGGAAGGAGGCCAGGGAGGCGTGGGGCTGCCGCTCTGCCCCACTGGAGGGAGCTGAGCCTCCCCGGGCACAGGCAGATCCCCAGTCGTGTCTCTGATTCATGAGCTTGATCAAGGAGACTGAACTGACACTGCATGACGGCTAAAACCCAAACCAGAATCCACACCGAATCCCACGCACAGCAAACAGAAAACCAAGTACACGACAAGAAATACTGTCAACAAAGGACTTGGGTAGAAATAATGGTCTGAAATCTCCTGTTCGTATTCTCACAAGGGGCTCCCGTTTTCTGGGGTCAGTCTGGGATGGATTCCAAGGAGAGGAAGACCTGCTAGAATCATCCTGCCAACGTTCATTCGATACCTGTGTGTTTGAGGCAACATGCTGGCCTCAAGGTACAGAGTTGAAAGATCCCTTCTCAATGATGTATATATAGTCTAGTGGGGAAGACAGAGAGTAAACAAGCAATACCAGCACAGTTATAAGATGGAGCCCACACACACGGTGGCAGCAGAGCACATGCCATGTGTGCTGTGTGTTTCTATAGGCTGGCTGGTTGGGCCCAGGTTTCTGGGAGGTTGTGAGCAGGGCACCCAAGCAGGGAGAGGAAACTATTAAAGCTCAAACTGCCAAATTGCTACAGGTCAAGAGGGGGCGCTGGTGGGACTCCATATCCTCAAACCTGACTAGTTTTCTGTGCACACAAGTACCAAGCTAGGGGAGCTTTGTTCACAAAGGCTACCAGAGGTGCATGAATGTATTCTGTCCCAGGAAGCCTCTTTGAACAACTAAACAGAACATTTAAATGGACAGGGCAGTGGGGACGGGAGGGACCTTAGGTCTCAGTCCCTAGGAAAAGCCTGTGTCAGCTCCTACACTGGGCTAAGACCCCAAAAGCTAAAGTTTGCATTGGAATACAGGCCCTTGGCCCTTATACTGTCTCTGCTTAGGAAGGGGTTTTTAAACATGTAATTATATAATTTCTATTATCACTTCAGTACAGCAACATCTATAAAATACCACCTATATATAAAAGTATTATATCTGGTTCATTCTATCTATCTATCTATCTATCTATCTATCTATCTATCTATCTATCTATCTATCTATCTATCTATCTATCGAGACAGGGTCTTGCTATGTTGCTCAGGCTGGTCTCGACATCCTGGCCTCATGTGATCCTCCCACCTTGGTCTCCTGAGTAGCTGGGACTACAGGTACACACCACCGTGCGGGCTCTGGTACTGTTTATTTAGACTGCTGAGCTGCTTCCCAAACAGGAAAGGGCTTCCCCGGCAGCCCTGGACTCCCCAACGAGGGAAGCCAAGTGAGACCACAGTCTCCAAGGGCAAGCACCACGTCTTCTGTTTCTAAGCCTCACACTCCCAGCACTGTCTTCAATGCAGATGATTCCCGGCTACTCAGAGACAGGTCAACACCTCTGAATGGGAAATGGCTTCTCCTCCAGTCTGACCCAAGCTGCTTTCTAGTCCTGCTCCCAACCCCGGCCACACGTGGCAGCCGCCACCCTGCCTCACCCTGGATCCTCAGGCTCTCCTGGTACTGGATGATGAAGTACTCCTGCGTCTGCTGCAGCTTCTTCAGCTCGTTCTCTGTGTCCTGCGTGACCAGTCGCAGCTCCTCAAATGTCTGGTTGATCTGAAGGTGTTTCTGGGACATGGCGTCAGCGAGACTTCCAGCCGGAGAGCTGCCCTGCAGGCAGGCCGGGGGAGAGTGTGGGGCAGCGGGGAAGGGAGGGACCTTAGGGCTCAGTCCCCAGGAGAAGCCTGTGTCAGCTCCTACACTGGGCCAAGCCCCCAAAAGCTGACATTTCAGTTGGAATAACAAACGTCTATGAGCACGGGGGTGGAGCGCGAAAAGGGAGAAACAGGTGATCTGACAGACTGCAGCACCTTCATGAAGCATCGTAGAAACTTCTATATCAGATCTAGCTTCCACTAGAGTATCCCAAAGAGGATCCATCTAATTCCCTTCGGAGAGACTAGAACTCATCATATTCCGGGTTGAGTTACGTGGGTTTCCCTACTAATGATGCTGCCTTCTCATCCCACATCCATTCACTGGCCCAGGGCCACAACCGTGCTAAACACTGGGGACACAGTGGGGAACAGGAGTGTGTGAACACACGTCATCTGTGTCCTCACTCAAGACGTCTTGTGATGGAGTAATTTGATCCAGCATGGAAGAGGCCAAACCTCCCACCAGCACCCTGAAGGGCTCTGATGAAGTTCTGGGGGTGGCATAAGCAAGGCCTCTGTGGACCCAGCCATTTAAGTGACAGCGTTCCCTCAACACCCGGCTCAGGGGGCCAAGTAGAAGTCTTTCTTGAGTAATCTCACCTGAACATGAGCATGCCTTTACTAAACAATTATTCTGCTGGGGTTACATGTTACATTATTTTTGCACTTGTTCATGTTGTTTTTTGTTTTTTTTTTTTGTTTTTGAGACAGAGTCTCACTCTGTTGCCTGGACTAGAGTGCCGTGGCTTCAGCCTAGCTCACAGCAACCTCAAACTCCTGGGCTCAAGCAATCCTCCTGCCTCAGCCTCCTGAGTAGCTGGGACTACAGGCATGCGCCACCATGCCCAGCTAATTTTTTTTTTTTTATATATATTAGTTGGCTAGCTAATTTCTTTCTATTTTTAGTAGAGATGGGGTCTCGCTCTTGCTCAGGTTGGTCTTGAACTCCTGAGCTCAAGTGATCCTCCCACCTCGGCCTCCCAGAGTGCTAGGATTACAGGCGTGAGCCACCGCGCCCGGCCTGTTCATGTTGTTCTGTGGTTGCAATCTCATCAAGGTTATAAATCATTTAAGATCAGAGACAACGTCTTCTATTTCCTTTGTGCCCCTCAGACAATGTTCACTTTAAGGAGACACCAAGAAGTGCACAAAGAGTCCCCTTGACAAAGTTGGGTCCGACAGAGGTGGGTAAGAAAGGACATCCCAACTCGCCTCCCCACACCTACGGGACACTCACATTGTTGGCCTCTCGGACTAGCCTCTGTTCGTTGTACAAGATGTGGCGGATGCAGCGGACCAGCTCCATGGGGCAGCGGTTGTATGTGCTCTGAAAGAATCCAAGAGCAGATGTCACTTTTTCCCCCTCCCTGCTACAGGGCCTAAGCCTGCCTCAGGACAGGGGCCTCCTGATGGAGAGGACACCTGGGGACATGATGGCATAGTCGTAAGAGATGCTGCTCCTCCAATTCTAACAAGAACAAGAAAGCACATTGTAGAAAATCCAATTACAGTGAAAAGGTAAGATTGTTTTATTTCTTGCATCTTAATTTGCCTCAAGGACTTGGGCAACATTCTTGGAAATAGGATAAATAAGTTTTATTTTATTTTATTTTATTTTTTGAGACAGAGTCTCACTTTGTTGCCCAGGCTAGAGTGAGTGCTGTAGGGTCAGCCTAGCTCACAGCAACCTCAAACTCCTGGACTCAAGCAATCCTCCTGCCTCAGCCTCCCAAGTAGCTGGGACTACAGGCATGTGCCACCATGCCCAGCTAATTTTTTTTCTATATATATTAGTTGGCTAATTAATTTATTTCTATTTGTAGTAGAGATGGGGTCTCGCTCTTGCTCAGGCTGGTTTCAAACTCCTGACCTCAAGCAATCCACCCGCCTCGGCCTCCTAGAGTGCTAGGATTACAGGTGTGAGCCACCGTGCCTGGCCTAGGATAAATAAGTTTTAAAAAGGCCACACCAGAGGAGAAACTGGACACCAGCCTGACTGGGCAATCAAAATTACTATCACCAATGAGGGGCGGATGGACATTGCATGTCTCTGGATGTGACACTCTAAGAAGGACAAATCACTCAGAGTTGTCCTTTGATATCCATGGGGA